TTTTTAATGAATAATGATATTCCTATACCAACACACACCCCTACTCAACACTGATTCTTAAACAGGTACGAAAAATAATATACATACAAAAACAAGAAAATTGAAAAATACGTACAAATGGCCAATTTTTTTAGAATCTTTTGGTACATGATACGTTTTGTGGTACCAAATGAACACATGCAGGAAAGATGTTCATGCTTACATTGTATATGCATTTGTAAACAGCAGCTTGAAAAATCGAAAATACATTTTTCATTGAATAAAAATTCATTTTTCAACTATTTGAAGACTATTATCATAAATGTGTGCGATTTCACATGAAATATTGCCATATGTGATTACCATAATACAATGGAATCGTTTGATGCAAATGTCATACTGGTAATAACCAATTGTTTAATGTATATAGATCCTATGTATACAATTGTGGTCTGACAGGTTACACATGGACGATGACAAACTGTACCAGAGCGGCAGTGACTCAAAAGAACTAACCAAACATAATGAATCATCCGATGACATGGATTCCACGCGTGTCAACGTCAAAACGGCACGTCAAACTGTCATTACGATAATCTATGGGTGCAGTTACGCTGAGATCGGAGGGAAACCCTGAAGGGGATGATTCAGCCTTGAGAATACATGGGTGTGTTTGGAATACCGAATGTTTAGAACGTAGATCCTCACTTGTAAATAAAATCGCTTTATGATAGAAGTACATGAATTATATTATTTTAATACTTTGCAAAAGGTGTCACCAAACACTGAGATTAAACAATAAAAAACAAGTCAGTTGTTATAATCCTTTGCAGGATATAAAAAAAAAAAAACATTTAAAAATCAAAACATAAAAACAATACGATACAACATTATTATTATTGAAGGTATGTGAATAATAACCTGATTAAAGTTCTTTAACCTGATTAAAGTCTACAATAGAAAATTCTGTTGATTTGGGGTCAGATTATAAGCAGACAGTACGTGTCACAGCTATATGTATACATGTATATAATGGCACCATACTGCCCTATCATCAGACCATGGTATCATTATTATCGAATGAGGCAATCAGGCCAGAGTTCAGTTGAGTTGTCACCTGAGGGTACATCAAAATAATAACACAAATATTTGACTTATGGGTTTTAGAAGTTCAAGGTTGTGGATATCAGGTCTGAAACTGGGGGCATTGAAATAAAGTTTGGTATAAGGGTCTGATAAGCGAGAAATTTTACCTATTAGATGTTTAATATTAAAGGACCATCAGAAAAGTATATATTATGACCTCTTATTGACATGGCCTGAATTCCGGAATATGCAGTCACTAGAATGACTCTTTTATAACTGAGGCTCTAAAAATATTTGAATATATCACATGATGTGAAAATGATATCATCATGAATAGCCGTTTCTATAAGTAAGTGCACTACAATGTTCTACTACATTGATTGAGAAATTGACTGTTTCTATAGTAACAAGTGAACTACATGAAACTAACAATTTTCGCATATATTATTGAGGTTCCCATCAGTGCAAAAAATTCACTTATACCAAAACACCTTTGCAGTTAATAAGCATTTTGGAATACTTGTCCATAGATTACACTTTTCTAAAATGACATGAACAGTG